GCCCTAGGCTCAGTTCCTACAGAGGCTGCTGTCCTTGTGTCACTCTCCCCCATCCCCGCTTTTTTTTTTTTTTTTTGGCAGAACTGGAGATTGAATTCAGCCCCTTGTGCTTTATTTATTTATTTATTTATTTGTGTGTGTGTGTGTGTGTGTGTGTGGCCAGCTCAGCCCACCAGGGGGAGGGGCTGGCTGGCATGTGGTGCTGGGGGATTGAACCGTGGTCCCTGTGCTTTGCTAAGCTTGTTCTAAGTAGGTGCTTTAGACCACTGAGCCATCTCACCAGCCCTGTGCTTTAGAATTTATTCTACAGACGAGCCATCTCCCCGGCCACTCCCCCTTGCTTGCTTTGTTCACCCTCAGCAGAGCCAGTGCCGTCCTATGAAGCATGGCCTCATCCAGTCACCCTCCTTCTCCCAGTGCTGTCCCAACTTCCTAGCTTTAGGATGAAACCCAGGCTTGGCAGTGGCTCTCTGCCTGGCCCCTACTCTGGTGCCAGCGTCTTTCAAAACTGCGGCTCTCCTTCCCTCTGCGCTCCTTGCCTCACTCACTGGTGCTTCGAAGTGCTTATCACTAGTGCTATTGGTTTCTTGAGGGGCTTCTCAAGCTTAACTCCACCACGTTACAGGCTTCGTCTTCCACAGTGCCGTAACCCAGTGCCTGTATCTGGGGAGGTTTCGTTCTTTGGGTGCGTGTGCTTAAGTGCCTGGGTAAGTGGAAGAAATGAGCTCCAGGCATGTTCGCTCAGTGCTGCAGGCTAGCACTTGTGGGACAGGGTGAGTATGTAGCCGGGGTGCCTGTTGCTTTGAGAAGACCATGGATGCTCTGGTCTGTAGATGAAAATTCGGCAGCAGCTTGTCGACACCATAATCTCTGCTAATTACTAGCCTTGCCCTTTGACGTGCAGGACTGTTTTTTTGTTTGTTTTTGGCAGAACTGGGGATTGAACTCAGGCCCTTGTGTTTGCGAGGCAAATGCTTATTCTACTGAGCTATCTCCCCAGCTTGGACTGATTTTAAATCCCCAGTGTGTGGGGTAGTTGTCGACCTCATTGTATCAAGTGTATTACCTTTTTTTTTTTTGTCAGAACCAGGGATTGAACTCAGGCCCTTGCGCTTGCCAGTGAAGCGCTTATTCCACTGAGCCATCTTCCCGGCCCCATCAAGTGTGTTATCTAATTTAACTGTGACCAGTCTCGGAAAGTAGAGCTAAGGCTTCGAGGCCACTCTTTCTGCTCCACAAATACATGGTCCTCAGCTCAGAAATGCTCGGTGGTTTTCAGGTGTCAGCAACAGGATGTCTGAATCAAGTGAGCGACCTCCTGGGCAGGCCTCTCTGTGCAGAGCCATCTGGCAGCCTCAGGTGGTTGTGAGGGCCATGGGGGCTCCTGCTTGATCTGTTTAGCTGTGCAGAGACCTTATGTAAGGAGAGGGCATAGCTGTGTTCTTGAAAACTTTACTTTTTTTATTTGTTGCTACTGGGAATCGAACTCAAAACTGTACGCTTGCTAAGCAGGCACCGTACTGCTGAGCTGTATCTTCAGTCCCTGTAAAACTTTAGCTATGGAGCAGGTGGTCAATGGATTTGCTGCCCTGGCCTGGCTGCTTGTGTTGGGCACTGAACTGCGCCCCCTTTCCTGGCCCATGGTAGTCCATTGCAGCCTTGACTGTTCATATTCCCTGCCCTTCAAGTCCCAGCTTTCCTTTTTTGCCTTTGTTACTTTTTTTTTTTTCCTGAAACACTTTCCCCCTCAGCTTCATCTGATCTGACTTCTGAGGCATCAGTTAAGGTTCCCTGGCCAGGTGTTCAGTTCTTCTTCCTCTGTAGCTCTTGCTGTCTTCCTTCTCCCAAGAAAGAAGGCAGACATCAGTTCTTGTGCGTGCATTCTCGGCTGTCATAGGCCAAGGGTAAAACACATAAATTAATTGCATCTGGTGTCTGTTTCTCTTCACAGGGTGGACCTTCCTTAGAGCAGAGATTTGAATCTTATTACAACTACTGTAACCTCTTCAACTACATTCTCAGTAAGTTTGAGATTTGGCCAAGGGGGTGAAATCATGAGGCCTCTTAAAGGGCCTCCAGCTCTCTGGTGGACTTTAATTTGTAGGTGGGATGAGGAAAGTCTTGTGAGTCACAGTCCCTTGAAGAGAGGCAGCACCAAAAGCTTTCTGCAACCCTCCTGGAGGGGAAAGCCATTACGCTGAGTCTTAACTTCTCTGTAATCTGTCCAGATGCAGATGGGCCCGCTCCCCTGGAACTACCCAACCAGTGGCTCTGGGATATCATCGATGAATTCATCTACCAGGTATCGGCTCAACCTCAGCCTTAGTTGGAAAAGACTAGTATAGGCAAGGAGCAGTGACCAGCGTTTATGCTGCTGAGAAGGTGCACGGCGTTGCAGTCCACATCGCAGTGCAGAATACTTTGCGGCAGTGGACTCTTATGTCAGACAGTTTAAGAAAACGTGAAGCCTGAGCACTGTAGATAATGCACTTGTAAGCAAGAGGATAACAGTTTGCCGTGGTGGTAGGTTTTTGTAATCCTCACAGCCTGCTTCCAGAGGAAGGCAGGAGAGTTGCAAGTTGGAGCCCAGCCTATGTGCTTTAGCTACCCAGTCTCAAGAAAAACACTGGGAATGTAGCTCACTGTGAAGTCACTGGGTTTGATCCACAGGACTGAAAAAGAAGAGAAAAAGCAAGGAACTTAGGTGAGAAGTGGTCTGGGGGGCTATCTGCTCACATCTTTGTTTTTTGTTTTTGCGGTAACAGGGATTGAACTCAGGACCCTGTGCTTGCCAAGCAGGCATTTATTCTACTGAGTTATCTCCCTGCCCCCCAGCTCGCATGTTTGTAACATTGACTTCTGGTTTTTTGGCAAAACTGGGGTTTGAACTCAGGCCTTTATGCTTGCCAGGCAAGCACTTGCTTATTCTACTGAGTCATTTCCCCGGCTCCAACATTGACTTGTTATTGAAGCTTTCTGAAGTCTCACTTTCATTGCCTACAAAGTAGAAATTTTCTGTATTGGGGCTGATGAGATGGCTCAGTGGTCTAAAGCACCTACTTAGAAAGAGCTTAGCAAAGTACGTGGACCGCAGTTCAATCCCCCAGCACCACATGCCAGCCAGCCCCGCCCCCCTGGTGGGCTGAGCTG